TAATGTAATGTAACGTAACGTAATGTAATGTAATGTGATGCAATGTAATGCAATGCAATGTAATGGAATGTAATGTAATTTAATGTAATGCAATGTAATGTAATGTATGTGAGGCATGTTATAGGGATCCATGTCCATCCTCAGAATCCTTCTTGGCAGTTCGTGGACACACCTGGTGGGAGCCTGCCAGGACGTCAGCCGCAGCAGATGATTTAGGGTTTAGGGTTTAGGGTTCAGGGTTTAGGGTTTAGGGTTCATGGTTTAGGATTTAGGGTTTAGGGTTCAGGGTTTAGGGAAGTTGAAGTTTTCAAGTGCCATGCTGCTGGTTCGACACTTACACCCCCAAGCGCAAATTCCGAAACCGTGTGGATACCAAAAGCCTAAATAGAAGTTTCCATTTGCTTTTCCATTATCCCTATATAACCCCCTATATCCCCCTGTATCCGCCTCTATCCGCCTATATCCCCCTATATCCCCCTATATCCCCTTAAACCCTCACGGTCTATGCTTCGTGTTGTTGAGTGTGGCGGGCTTGGTCTCACAACAGGCTCCTCAGATCACTGCGAAGGTGTGGAACACTCTATGTCGACAGCAGAAATTCCATGGAATCCAGCAATACTTGCTACAAAGCCTAAATCCTGCAGACCTCTAAACCCTAAACCACAAGACATTGGGAATCCACCAATACTTGCTACAAAGCCTGCAGACCTGAAAACCCTAAACCACAACCAAACCCCAAAGGTACGTAGAATAATTGCCTTTCGGGTTATTTTGGGGGATGTTGGCCTGTTGTTTTACCTACTTTTGGGGTCCAGGAAGACATTGAGTGTAGCTTCAGATTCAGAAGAAGCGCTGCGGACTTCAGGAGCAAACCATGTTTAGGGTTTAGGGTTTAGGGCCCTCCAACCCAGATTGTTGTAGTGGAAGCAGAGGGCTTTAAGGCTCCCTGGTGCTTAGGGGGGAATGGGGGAATGGATTATGAGGATTATTAGGTAGGGATTATATAGGGACTACCTAAACCCCAAAAGAGGTAAGATAAGCCCAAAGCACCTAAACGAGCCCAAAAGGCCATTTTGCTACGTACTCTTGGGGTTCAAGTACTATAGGGATCCATTCCCCCATTCCCTCCTAAGCACCAGGGAGAAGAAGAGGACAGGGCTCCCTGCTGCAGCTACCCTAAGGCTCTTGGACCCCCATAACTGGATCAATTTCAGGGATCCTTTATACTTTTTGGGGTATGGGATTCCTTGCATAAATACCCTAAACCCAAACCCTAAACGCTAAATCCTCAACCCTAAACCCTAAACTCGGCCCTGGATTCATGCAGGGTTTAGGGTTTAGAATTTAGGGTTTAGCGTTTAGGGCTTAGGGTCTAGGGTTTAGGGTCCCCTTAACCCCGCACTCCGAAGCCATAAGATCCCACACCAGGCGTCAACCCTAAATGGTCGTTTCTACAAATCGGGGGACCCCAATATAAAACCTCCATACAAGGATCCTTAATAAACTGACCCCTTATGTTCGGAAGCGCCCAACATACGTTGTGGATCGTGATGGGTAGGTAACCTACTTATAAAGTAATGGGCTCATTACCTAACCCCAGGGTCCCTCAAAGTACATCCCAAACCCTAGGCCCTTAACCCCAAACCAACGTTTATATGGACTGCAAACCCTAAATACCTTAAACTCTAAGCCCCAGACCCTACACCCCAAACGCAAAACCCTTAACCCTAAGCCCTAGACCCCCAAATTTCCTCACTGACCTGTGGGGCTGATGATGACTGAGGGGTATCTTTGGGTCTGTGGACAGAGGGAAGTTGATTTCCCACCTGGACCTGGCTGTAAAGCGTTCTTCGGGAGGCTTCAACCCAACGGAGAAAATGTCCCAATTAAAAAAAAACTAAGTCCCTAACCCTCCGATTCCGCAGGAGACCTGGTTCCTCGTTGCCGCTTGGCTACGCTCCTTTCACCTCTTGGCTGTGGAGTCCGAGCCAAGGCCGTTGTGGCTTTTGGGTTTAGGGTTTAGCGTAGCTGAACCCCTATCCCTAAACCCTAAAGTCCCTAAACCCTGAACCTGAATCCTGAAAGACCCTAAACCCCTAATTCATAAACCCTCTAGATATTGCCTTTGGATTCCCAACAGAGTGATCGCTTTCTTGGCTTTTTGTATGGGTGTCGGGGCAGTTGTTTGACCTTGGTTTGAGGCCCAGGTCGGAGTTTTAGGGCTCGGTGTCTTGCAAGTGATGTAGGGTTTTAGGTTTTCGACCCTAAAGCCCCATTGTTTGGGTCCTTGGACCCTTAGGGTGAGGGTTTATGGTGCAGATTTCAGGTGTATGGGGCTTGTAACATGTCGGGCTTTTGGTTTTTTTGGGGAGGAATTTTGGAATTTGGGCTTTAGGGTTTCGGGGAGTTTAGGGATTTTGGGCTTGAGGCGAGGGATGGTGGTGTGTGTTACATGCGGGTCGTTTGCGTGCGTCGTGCGGTTGTAGAGATTGGCAGTCTGACGTTTATTGCTGGTTCTTGGCTTACGTAACCCTAAACCCTACCAGGACCCCAAAAGCAAGTAGAATAATCGCCCAAAACCATTACAAACAGCCCAAGAGGCAATTATTCTACATACATCTTATAGACAGCAGACAGAGGCAGTTTACAGAAGGTGCTTCGCCGTTACGAGGTTTTGGGCTGAGAGGCGCGTTGAGGCTTGATCAGCTTCATTCTCTTCATGTCCACCTAAATGGTAGTTTTCCAAAATAGGGGGACACCAACATAAAAACCACAAGATACTATCATCCTCATACCCCGAAAAAGATAACGCTTGGGAAGTCAAACTATAGTGGACTGCCGCACCTGCCGCCGAGTTGGATCACCCTACAGCCTAAACCCGTAAGCCCCTTAACCCTAGGCTCTTGGACTCTAGAACCTATAATATGAACCCCTAGTTGCCTAAACCCCTCAACCCTAAACCATTAAAGTGAAGATTAAACATTAAACCCCGAACCTATGCTCCCAGCCCAGAAGAAAGGCTACTCGGGCGCCTGTCTTTGCGGCCTGCGGCGGAGGGGCAAGGCAGCTAGCTTTTGGTTTAGGTTTTTGTGCCCTAGGGATCCAAGTAGGTACAACATGGCTTCCTTCGGTCGCAACGTAGAGGGCTTAGGTTTAGGGATTCAAGTATATATGAACGAGACCCTGAAACCTGTAGACAGCACCTACTTTTGACCCACAACTATTTCAATCAGACCCACTGGCGCCCTAAGAAGTTATCAGTAGTACGTACTTTGGGCTATCTGGATCCTTAGGGTTGGGATTTGGAGTTTGGCATGTTGATCTTAGGGTTTTCAAGGCTGGGTGTGAGGCCGGAGGCTTTAAGGCGTTGACCCTTAACCTGATGCCCTAAACCTTGACCTTCACAACGAAACCAGAAACATCCTGCACCTTTAGCCCTACCTCACCCCAAAAGTATGTAAAATAATTGCCTTTTAGGCCATGTTTTGGGGATGTTGGGCTGTTATGTTACCAATTTTGGGGGTCCAGGTATATCCCGATGTACCTACAGCCCTAACCCTAAATCCTAAACCCTAAATCCTAAACCCTAAACCCCAAATCCTAAACCCCAAACCCTAAACCCTAAACCGTGTGTTCAGCGAGGAGCAAGGTCCGGATGTCTCAAGTCCAGGATGTGCTTGCCCAGACCGCCAAAATATCCAAACTTAGATCCCGTAGAGGGGATCTAAGTTTCCCCCAACAAAGTTTGGGTAGATAAAGATTCCTGGGATAACTCCCCTATGATTCAGGCATCGCAGGGATCTATCTCTGCCCAGACCCCTGGGCAGATCAAAAACCTTTGGATGCCCTAAATAAACCCAGGATAACCCCCTATGTAGTCCCATCTGATTCCTCACTCATATTAGTCCAGGGGATATAATTTATAGATCAACCAATGCACCCTCAACCCTAAACCTTAAACCCTGAACCCTTAAACCCTCAAACCTAAACCCCTGGAACCCTAAATCCTAAACCTCAAACCTTAAAGCCCTAAACCCCCGACCTCAAACCTAAAACCTGAAACCCCAAACCCCAAGACCCTGAACTCTAAAACTCCAGACCTGAAACCCTAAGACCTCAACCCTAAAACCGAAAGGCGAGGCCATTATCCTGGTAGATCTCGGTCTGCTGGAGATTGCCGATGCTACTCGGCCTTTCGGTGAACCGTCGGCCCGAGCGTATTCCTTTGCGGGGTTTTAGAGTGTAGGGCTAGGGCCTAGGGTTCACAGCGGTTTATACGTTTAGGATTTGGGGCTTAGAGTTTGAGGTTTAGAGTGTAGGGTACAGGGTTTAGGGCCAAACTTTCGGGTTTAGAGCTTTTGGTTTTGGGCGTTCAGGGTTTGTGAGGGTGTTAAACGTTGTGAGGTTTTCATACATCATAAGTCCTAAATCCTAAATGATGGATACCCTCCTGAGAATAAACATGTCCCACTATATACAATGGTAGTACATTGGGTCGGGGAGTCTGTATTATTACGAGGGGGAGGGGGGGAGGGTGGGAACTGCATTGCAAGCCTTAAGCTCCAAAGAACAGGATCGCTCCCATGTTCTTCTCTTTTCCTTTATATACCTCTAATTAGCCTAGCCCTGAACCCGAAGCTCGGGCTATTAGGGGGAGGGAGTATCTTGACTACCTAAACCCCAAAAGTATGTGAAACAATAGCCCTAAACCCCTAATAACAGCCCTAGTGGCCATTATTTTACATGCTTTTGGGGTCTAACCCTAAACCCTAAATCCCTAAACCCTAAACCCTAATCCCTAATCCCTACTTTTGAGGTCCAGGTAGCATCACATGTGAGGATTGCTGTGCCTGGGAAGTCGCGAGCAGCCATCCCGAGCCTCTACAAGAGATCGAGCAACTGGGCCAACATGAGTAACATCCTGAACCCCAAAAGTATGTAGAAAAATTGCCTTTTGGGCTATATTCAGGTGTTTTCGGCTATCATTTTACCTACTTTCGGGGTTTAGGATATCATGTGGGGGTAGTCAGCTCACAAGATAGAGCGAGATTATAGCCTCGTTCTTGGTATGGCATTTGTTAAGAAGAATGATTCTATTCTTACCTGGTTCGAGCACCAAAAAGCCGCGCTACTCTGGTTCTCAACAGTAGGGGGCGTTATCGCCCAAAGCCCCATGAACAAGAGTCATAGTGGCCGTGATTCTCACTTAGCCAGGTTGTTTTGTTGTGCTTGGGGTGGCTTTTTTGTAATTCAGGTTTCAGATGGTAAGCTTACCCTAAGGGTCCAAGGACCCAAATAATAGGGTTTTAGGGCCCAAATACCATTTATATCATAGTATTTGGGGCCTAAAACCCTATTATTTGGGTCCTTGGACCCTTAGGGTTAGGATTCTGACTTCAGTTTCGGGATGTCAAACTGGCGGTGTAGGGGCCAAAATGATCTTAGCGTCATCCTCCAGGACCTACCCAAAGGGTTCACAGTCCACATATTACATGATTGTGAATTTGGTTGTTTCCCTAAACAGGGGGGCCCCAATATTTACCTCAATATACTATAGTCGCTAATTTTTTGACCCCTTAAGTAGCTTCCCACGGACAAGGGCTGATGGATGTTGCTTCAGGCGTGCAAGAATCCAAACCCCGAAGCCTGACCCTAAATCGTAACTTGCAGCCCTGAATCCCACATATATGTATGTATGTATGTATGTATGTATGTATGTATGTATGTATTTGTATATATATATATACATATACATACATATCTACAGAGAGAGAGATGTATATAGATATAAACATATATATATATATAGAAACACACTTATATAGATACGTATATGTGTCCATACCTACACATGTAGATATCTGCATACGCCCCAATTCCAAGCCCTCTTGCTCGAAGGATCCCGACGGCACCTACAGGAAGCATCTCGCTGCCACTCTGGCAGTTGTTTAGGTACGCGGCGGTTCAGGGCTTAGGGTTCAGAGGTTTAGGGTTCAGGGGTGTCGGGTTCAGTGGTTTGGGGTCTAGGGTTTCAGCAGCAGTGTATTAAGACGAGGCTTGCTGTACAAGACCTTTCAAAAAACGATGATATGCATACGATATAGTTTCTGCGAAATAGGGGGCCCCAATGTACATCCTAGTGCTTTTCTACTAAGTTTTATCATGAGGACCACCCAATGTAAACAGAGGGGTTCCGGGCTTAGAGATCAGGGTCTCTCAAATCTGGTTACCTTTGGGCCATTTCTTCAGGATTCTATAGGAGCTGTGTCGAGGAACTATCAGCTGAGGAGTGTATTGAATGAGGACGTACCATTGCCTTATTAAACAGGGGCAGGCCCTCAACCGCTCGCAGATTCGAGCCTCTGAAGGACCCTGAGATAGACTTCGGATGAGAGTGTGTAAGATTTGAAAACCAGCAAAACCTGAAAGGGAACCCGCCTCTAAGCTAGAATGGAAACTGATGTGAGCCAATGATGGAAGCCTCTAAGCTAGAATGGAAACTGATGTGGGCCAATGATGGAAGGACCGTGTAGTCTTTGTAGGACCCCTGTTCCAGCTCCATGTAAAGCAGCCTGCATCTATAAAAGCCGTCTTTCACGTTGATCAGCGCACAGTTAGATCACAAACTGCACAAAGACATGGTATTCCATGAAGCCGGTGAACCCCAAACCTCAAAACCTTAATCCAAAACCCTAGACCCTTAACCTTGAAATAGCGTTGGGGTTCAGTAAAGGTGGGAAGGGATCGTGCCCGTAAACTCTGGCCTGAAGCCCACCACTTTCAGGGACAGCGGGACTTGGTGAGGAATTTTTCAACCCCCATAAGCCATACCTAAACCCAAAGGTATGTAGAATACTTGCCTTTTAGGCTATTTCTGGGAGATGTTGGGCTGGTATTTTACCTACTTTGGGGTCCAGGTATGAGCTACTGTCAAGGTTAGGCTTCAAGGGATCATTGTCAGAAGGGACATAGGAGGCCTTTGCTATGTAAGAAATACGTTGTCTGTAGCCCATATAGTATAGTTGTTCCAGATAAATAGACACCCTGAACCCCGAGTGGCCCTGAGCCGTACCGTATAGGACTTGCGGTCGCCTGGACCCCTCAACAGCAACCCGCAGCCCTGACCTCACAACTTTCACCTCGAAACCTTCAAGGCCTCAATCCCTATCCTTCCTTGTATATACATATATATATACTGTATAACCCATCATAGTAGTTTCCATTCTCTTGTCCGTGATCCCTATAGAACGCTGTATAACCCCTATAAACCCCATTATACCAGCCTTGGACCTTGGAACCCTGAACCCTAAACCCCAAACCCCAAACCCTAAACCCTAACTTAGCTCAGCCCTCAACCCCGCAGTCTTTAGTCCTTACAAAAGCTATGCGCCCTGAATCACTCCCCAAAACTGGCAAGAAGGCAAAGCTCAGCGACAGTGATCCTTGTAGTCTTTGCCGCCAAGTGCGTGCGCCGGAAATTTCGGGCCTGACGTGAGAAGTGCCACGATTTGGGTTTGGTGTTCTGGATTTAGTGAGGGGGTTTAGGGTTTGGGGCTGCCCGGACCCCAAAAATAGGGAAAAACCATAGCCCAAAACACCTAAAAATAGCCCCGAAGGCTATTATTCTACATAACTTTGGGGTTTGGGTTAAGATTTGTGGCTGAGGGTTTGGGGCATAGTATCCAGAGCGCAGGCTTCAGGCTCAAAGGTTCATCAGCGATTAGTGGGGTGATCGAAAGAAAACTAGAGGGTTCCTGATATTGGCTTGCTGCGCTCTCCATAGCTATAGTCCCCCTTAAGTAGATAAAATATGGCTATGAGTATATTATACAAAGATCCCCATATACCCCATGTTGTATCTACTTAAGGGGGACTATAAATCCTAAACCCTAAACCCAAAGCCCCATATTCTATCTACTGAAGGGAGACTACTGTTCTATGGACCCTAAACCCTATGTAAACATCATATCTCAAACAGAGACAACCTTGAGCTTTCATTCCTCACTCTGAACCCTGCAGGTTTTAGGGTTAGGATTTAGGTAATCTAGTTCTAGCTCCTTAGGCCGGATTACAACCATGCTGAAACCTAGAATTGGGGTGCCTTTTTGGGGATCTCTATAATAAGGACTATAGCATTTTCAGGTCTATGTTGGGGTCTCCCTATTGAGGGAGAGTGCCATGTTCCCCTACATCCCGACAGGGTCCTTCACAGCCCCCGATTGTGAGAAAACCCAAGGTTTCAGTCTCAGGGGCTTTGAGAAACCCTAAATCTTACGCCTCAAGCCCCAAAACCCAAAACTTCAGGGCTTACGGGTTCAGGATGCTTGGTTTAGGCTTTCAAGGTTTCAGTTTTACCCGAAACCCTAAACCCTAAAAAACCTATAAACCCTTATGTAGGCAAACCCATCCGATTTGCTTGGGTGTCAGGGTTTCAGTCTGGGGCTGTAGGACTTCACCGTGCCAAGCGCGCGTCTCATCTGGAACCCTGCAGCGAGCAGGGGAGAAAAGGAAAAGAAGTCAGGCTTAGGGTTTAGGAGTTGGGGTTTAGGGTTTAATGTTCAGACTTTAGGGTTTATAGGGCTTAGGCTTTAGGGTTTAGGATTTAGGAGGATTTAGGGTTTAGGATTCAGGGTTTAGGGTTGTACTTCCTGAGCCCTAAACGTATGTAGAATATTGGCCTTTTGGGCTAGTATTTTACGTACCTTGTGGGTTCAGGTTGAAGCTTGGGGGTACCACCTGGACCGCCAAAGCAGGCAAAGTAATGGACCCACACCCGTAAGCATAGCAAAAAGGCTAGTATCCCATAAGCTTGTGGAGGTTAGGTATCCCTAAGGGTCCAGGGACCTAAATACAAGGGCTTTATAGGGTCCAAATACCATGAAAATAGTATTTGGGCCCTAAAGCCCTATTATTTGGGCCCTTGGACCCTCAGGGTATGGTAGAAGCTGCCACTATACCGCAAAGGATCTCCTTTCCTGTGGCACCTTACGAAAGGAGGGTCATCCTTCTGGGTTCAAGGAGCAAGAATTCTCATGTGGCCTTCCACGATGACCTAAACCCTAAACCCTACCTGGACCCCAAAAGTAGGTGAAATAATGGCCCCAAATCCCTGCACAGAGCCCAAAAGGCCATGATTCTACATACTTTGCGGGTCTAGGTAAACCCTAAACACCCAGGGCATCCTTGGACCAAGGGGTCTGATGAAGATGGGACGTAAAACGTGGGAATCGCAAGGACTGAAGAGCAATATCAAGAAGGCAACAGGAACCCCCACATGGATGGTGCCTCTGGACGAAAAGTGGGGGGTTATCAGCCCTAAGCCCCTAAACCATTATCCGGACATGGAAGGGGACAGAGACGGGAACGGAATGGAATTGCAGCGATCAGGGTTGAAAAGGGGCTTGACAGTATTGCCAAACAAGCCTTATGGTTTAGGTTGGATACTGTCCCGATCCTATAGCAGCTGGACACAAGCGTAGCATGAATATATACATGTTACCCCTGTTACAGGCTGTTACTGGGCGGGAGCAGCTCGCAAGGTTTACGCTTAAAGTTTCGAAGCCCAAACCAGACCCCAAAGTTTGTGAGTCGTATGTCAAACTGCAAGTCTCACAGAAGTAGCTTCTCCCATGGGGCTTAGGGTTTTAGCGCTTTGGGCTTGCAATGCTGAACAATCACAGGGGCTGGCAACCTGTTCATATTCTGGGCAAAGTATAGCGAGCTCAAGCAAGCTGCCCCCAATTGTAGTCACTACGGGGGTTATTAAAAATCCCGCATGACCCTAACTAAGTACCTTCGTCATGCAGGATTTTTAGCATCAACAGTATTGAGAACATACCCCTAGGGCCTTAGTTCAGGATTACGGAAAACAACCCTGGGCTCCATGTCGTTTTCCATTGTTGTTTCCACTTGATTCTTCATTATCGTAGTACTATACCTAAACCTCAGGCATCCCTTATATTATTCTCAAATGCTTTAAATTGCCCAGATTACTTGATCATCTTTCCGTGCAAGGAGAGTGTTTGGGGCTTAGGGTTTGTGCGATAGGTTTTTAGACCTCAAAGACCTTCACTTGTAGGACCAGGATTGAATCTTATTGACGATGTATTTCTTTACCAAGTCTTCGAACTAAATGGCTGTTGGGTCTAAGGGGGGGGCATAAACACACAGCATGCAGCAAAACCGGCCTGAAGTACACGTGTTCTTAAACCGCACTTTCCCGAACCAGGCTGAAGGGTCAGATGGTCTTGTGGCGCATGGAGGGCTTCTTGTTTGACTGATGCCTTAGGTGGATCCCCCACCCTGTGATAGTGACTATAAGGGGATAATAAGGATTATATAAGGGTCCTCTTCCTATTATACCACTATTATAGGGTTGGGGGGCCTCCTAACAGATGCCTGGTGTGTTAGGGCAAAGGCGTTGGACCCCTGCCTTTGTCCCTATAATTTCGCGGTTTGCAACTTCCGGCCCTGCAGCCTGAACCCCCATTCCCTAAACCCCAAACCCCACACACAATCAGGGAACCATACTGGTATTGATGCAGGTGCGCAGAGTACTGCCTAAGGAGCTCCATGCATCTTATTTTGGGCGTTGCGTACTGGTGTGCGGATGGGATACATACATTATTTCCAGCTGACATTGTTCAGGTCAACAAGAACTGGCAGAGAAACACAGGAAAACAGAACGAAGCCAGAAGCGCTACAGAATAGCAAAGAATCCCAGAGCAAACATGCTCGGCACCTCGTCCCCGAACATTGGATCCCAAACCCTACACGAAACCTTTAATCCGCCATACCCGTGCGTGAGGGAGTTCCTCACAACTGTCCCTAGACCACCCTGAATGAATAGAGGCTCTCATGAACACCTTGGAACACCATACACCCCCAAGTCCCTTAGGAGAAATAGCCGGCCACGAAGCCATAAACCCCTACCTGGCGTAGGCGTTGCGGACGGGCACGGCAACATACAGAGCGACAGGGCGGCCCAATGCCAACACGAGGCGCCTAACTGTGCACGCCTTTTTAGCCATAATTCTGGTGTAGAACCCCGATATATGCACCATTTTACCGTAGTAATTTTCACGTTCTTCTCCATTATCTCTAAGTCACTCAAAGCAGAACATCACGGCAGCCTGTGACATGTTTGCGCCGAAGTTTAGGGATGCTATACCCTAGGGCTCCCAGTTTAAATAGTAGGTTACTGGGCTCCGTAACTGTAGTGTATGTAGAACCCAGTTCCCATCAGTTAGGTAACTGGGAGCCCTAGAGATGGACATTGCTAAGAGGATGGCGGGTGTTATGAAGCGACTTGGGGTTTAATGTTTGGATGTCAGGGTCGTGGGTTAAAGGCCAAAAGTAGGTAAAATGATAGCCCCAACCCTCTAAAAACAGCCCAAAAGGATATTATTCTACATAGTTTTGGGGTTCAGGAAACGTTCTGAAGGGGCTACAACCCCAATTTATCGGCTGAATTCTAGGAGAAGCTATCCTTTCAAGTGTGCAACGTCCTTGTGTCGTGCCCCTCCGTAAGGATGAACTATAGGAGGCTGTAGCTGGCGCTTATGAAGCTTGAGTGATTGAGGTTGAGGCTGTGCCGTAGCGATTTGATGAGACAGTTGACAGTTGCAATGGGTTGTAGGGTTTAGGGTTTTAGGGTTTGAGGTCTTAGGGTTTAAGTAGGATACTGCCCCCCGTCAGGAACAGTTGGATAATAGTTATGATCTGGTTATATATAGCCCTTAATAGGACCCTGTTACTGGGTGGGGGCAATACTCAAGGTTTAGAGTTCTTGAAGAACTCTTTGGTCTGGCAGTTCGGGGCCTCATAGGGTATTTGCTGCAGGCTGACCCTCATAGACACCTTCCTCCAGTATCGAACCATGCAGTACCAGGCGGGTTCTTGGATGGCAGCGGTGCCCCCTTGGGCTTTGGGACTGTTCAGGTTTAGGGCTGAATTTGGAGGTTCAGGGGCTAGCGCATTAATATACCCCTTCTTATATTGTATGTTTTTCAGTTATATGGGGGGGGATTCCAATATGAAGGTCCTCTTCTCCTTGCACAATTATGGTACAGAGTAACTCAAAAGACTTAAAACGTATGTTGGCAGCTATTCAGGCCCTTCAGTATACGGGCAATTAGAATCTGCCATTCTCTCATCCATCTCAAAATTGACTTCCTTGTTTCTACCTTCAGAATATTTGGATCGCAAGACTAGTGACTAGTGCCCCCCCTAAAGAGGGACACATAATCTAGGAAGCTCGCCAAGGTGAGGAAGCATGGTTTTCCCTTGTTCAACTCCCCAAAGAACTTACTGGCTGGTCTTCCCAGACCTGAACCCCAAAAATGGTAGTTTCCCTAAAGTTTAGGGTTTGGGTTTTTTGGTGGTCCCTAGAACAAGGACTATAGTATTTTGGGGTGTATATTGGGTACACTGATTTGAGGAAATTACCAAATCCGTGGTCCAGCACCATGCAAACTGGGCTGTGCCTCCC